CAAATTGATGTAAAACATGCATCTTATACAAACACTATACCGTGAAAACAGCACTTGACTTTTCAACACTCATTGTTTCAGTTGTATTTATATGCTTGCAAAAGTACGCTTTTGAAAAATTACAAACGTTAAAACGTGACGGATTAACACCCTCGACTTCGTCTCCGGTGTCAAACGCCGTCGTCGTTCAAAAAACGACATTTTTCGCCCATGTTTCGAAAACTACTTGCTTTCTGCTTGCTGATCTAACTGACAATATTTGTTGTATTAGATTAAGACACAATCATTTTTGTTAGAAATTAACATAATTAAACTAAACAATCACTTTGAATAGTGGATCGCTTTATGTATGAAACTAAGTACCAAATTTAGAATTATAATAAAAACACTGTTGGTCATTTTAAGCGCTGTAAAACAACAAAAATATTTCAGTTTCATTCAGTAAATTGCACTATTTTAGGCAACTTTCCTAAAAACGTTGACTGTTTCGTTAACGTTCTATTATTAATTACGTGAGTCCTATTTGGTCGTACTCTAAAACTTGCTTTAAATATGAATAAATTCAAAATCACGGTTGTACTGTTATTGATAATAAATTATAATTATTATAATGTAGTCAAAACACAGCTAATATTTAAAAAATTATCACATTTTATAATTGATAATCCGGTATCAAACAGGTCTGTATTGTTGATGATGGTGGGCCGAAAACGAAACCTTCTAACTCAGATCTGATCAGAAAATCTTGTAGATAAGTAAAAGATGTTGTTTTAAAATAATAATTTTTACCTACGACCACTACGGAAAGTAGTATAAAACACACTACTACCTACCATCTAAGTAAGTTCCATTTTACGCATTGCAAATTAAACGCATGGTAAAACAAACCCCAAAATTATAAATTGAAGGCCCATAATTCGATAAGAAAGTCAGATCGGCAATTTTTTTATATGAAGTACTGGCTTTATTATCAGGTCTTCTCTCAACCCTGTTGACCAACAACTTCGGCACACCCTGTATAAGCCAGATATTTCTGCAAAAAAACTTTGTTGTTATCAAACTGTTTTAACCAACTATTATCGGGAAATTTTATAAAATTATTTTTTTCTTTGCACATCGCTTATAATACACTTTTACATCGGTATTTTTATTTAGAATAATGTGTGAAAACGATCCTTTTAAATTAAGTTTCCGAACTTTTTCCATTTTACTTGAAATGTTGGTCCATTCTATCGTTTTGTATACTTCGCTTCAATTTGCGCCATGTCTGCTGAAACTTAAACTGAATTAGGGATCGTATACTTTGTAATTGAAATAATTTTATTCACTCAGTGCGAAAGCTTTGCGCACTCGCTAAGCAGAAATATTGATATTTTGTTATTCGATTGAAAATAACCTTATGCAGGTCCTAAGTTGTACATATGATAGAGTTTGATCTCTAAATTGAAACAACGTTGGGATACATAATCGGCATGCCAATAGCAAATTTATAAGGACTTACACCACCAAAAGGCTAAATCCTGTAAATGTTCATTTTGCCCTTATTGCTTCAAATAAATTCACTTATTTTTAAATTGAGAAAGTACATAAACCGGTGAGACTTGTATTCTGAACATATCACTTAATTTAAAGGTCCAAATACACACGGTACTTTGTAGTAACTTTTATTATTAAGACTGTCCTTTCATATATTTAGGTCGCCAGAATAAATACCGATCAATTGTAATAAACTATTCACGTTTACCTAATCTATTCCAGATTTTCGAGAGTACGGTTGACTCATATATTCGAAATTGCCAGATAAGTGAAATCAATAAACAAAGTCATAAAGTTCATATGACTTCCGATTGAATTAGTTTGAAAGGGGAATGCGAAACCTAAACTTACTGTACTTCTGTTCTTGTAAACACTAGTGAAAATGGAAATTGAGAAATCCACATAACACAGTCGGAATTAGTTCTATATTTAGTGCGGTGCCTCTAACCTTAGCTGTTAACGCCAGTATTAGGAATAGAATAAAAAAAATTGAGATAGGAGAGAGATAAAGATTTCCGAAGAGAGTGGCGGAAATATTAACTTCTATCTTTTTAATCGCTGATTGTAATAAAGATGTTTTTGAATCTATTAGCTCTCATCAGCTAGGTTTAGATAGCCTCCTTCAAAACCTCTCTTTGTGTTGAGGTCGCAACAAATTTCAGTGTTCTTCATTTAGAATTTGTTTGAAAATACAGACATTATGAAAGGATTACCCGAACTCTAAGCTCCGTCTATTTAAGCTATTCTGATGCCCGCTCTATCATTAGATGTTATCCCA